CGGGCGGCTACTCCCTCCACGGGGCCTGCCCTGACCCCTGGTCGGGAAGCGCCTGCGCCCGCTGTGGCTTCCCCCCCTCCGCCTCCCCGCTACGCCTTTGCGCTGTCATAGCGTAGGCCTTGGCCCTGGGCCGGCCGCCCCCCGTCGCCGGCGGCCCCCGCTCCAGCGCCGCCGGCCGCGGCCGCTGGCACCGCCCCTCGGCCGGGTCCGCCGCCCCGCTCCGCGGCCACCATCTTGCTGCAGGGCCGGCGCTGGCCCAGCCGCAGGCCCCGGCGGAAGGCCTGCTGCGAGTCTGCCGCTCTGGGGCCCGCTCTCTGGCGTCTGCAGTAACACCCAGCGCAGGGCTCCTTCCCGAGGCCCAGGCCTGGTAAAAGAAACCGGATTTTTCGGATTATCATTTTGGTTTTTTTTTTAAAAAATGATTCCATGTGATACGCGTCTTCACAGACGCCCTTGGAAGTTGTGTAACTTCTTTTGTTTTCCTATGGATTTTTTTTTATTTTTTAAGTAAAAGCAGCTTCACTAATCTGGTGAACGTTACTAGCTGATCTCGTAGCTGCCATGTATTGTTCGGGAGGCTCAAGAGCGAGCGGTCAGCACTGCTTTCCAGTATTCATCTGAAATGCTACGCAAGAGCTTTATCTCCATGTAACATCTAATAGCTGTGTTGTGCATGCATACCGAAAATATAAAGCATTAGTTTTATTAAATTTCATCTTAGTCACGTCAGAGAAGGCTATTTCTAGAAGCATATGTTTTAATCCAGTAAAATGCCTGTTCTCCCAGTTGCCTCTCTTTGTGAAGAGAATGGTAACCAAAGCAGTGTAATCCAGCAGGTTCTACTGTTAGGCTTCTAGAGATGGTTTCCAGCTGTGAACAGTTTTATGTGAGTTACTGTCATTTAGCAAAATCTGCGCCTGAAAGACTTCAAGAACAGGACTTGTAGAGCTCTTCCCTGCCTTTTCATTAATCCTTTCAGCTGTAAATATACAAATGTAGAACCCAGTGTGACTTGGGAGCTGGGCAGCTGCTTAGGCTGTTTACAGTTAGGAGGAGTATTTATAGTAGCTGAATTAAAAAGTAGTAATTTGAGGCAGGTATGCACAGTAGAGTTCTTTGGTTTTGTTTTTTTGTTTTACTTGAGTTGTGCTTGCTTGACAGCCCTATTTTTTATAATTACTTAAGTGTAGTAAACCAATCTTGTTATCAAATTGAATTGACTTTTAAGGGAAAAGCTTATCCCTTATTCCATTACCTGACAAAATTAGTTTTAGTCATCTTTGGGCAGAAGAGGTGTTTTGATTATTCTATAGTCTGTGCACAGAAAAATGAGAAATGTAATATGATACAAGTTACAGCTCTTGTAGAACTCTAATAATATTAGTCTAATTAGATAAGGGAGAAGTACACAAATAAGAAGTGTCTCTGTGCAGTTCCTATGGTACAGTGAACGCCTCCTTCACTTCTCCTGAACTTGGTTTGGGGGATGCTCATTTGAGATGTGAAATGCTGTCCAAAAAATAGTACTATCCTGAAAGAGGTCATGGTAACAGTTGCCTGAATGTAATGCGGATGTATGTGAAAAGTCTAGTGATCCTGTTATTTTTGCACTAGCTTTGTGTCTTCTATTTTTTTTTAATTTTTTTTTGAATTGAATCTTTCACTGCAAACCTTTCATACCAGATCCCGATTTGTGCAGCCCTGAACCAGTTTCTTACCTAGTCTCATTCATATATGTGTAGTGGTCTGACAAGAAAACTTTTGTCAGCAGAAAGTTTTTCAGAGTAGTGACTAAAGGAAGATCCTTCATCTGGAGGAGAAGTCATTGAAATACATACTTCTGTGAAAAATGGGTGATGAGTTTGCATCCAGCCATTGTGTCCTTTTGGGGTTTAGAGTTCTTACTTGTCATAGCTGACTGCAGTCAGCATTTTCACTGTGATGAGAGTTAAATGTCTTTGCATTCATGTTTCAGTCACTTAAGTTGAATTTTTCAAGTTCACTAAAGGGAATTCAAAGCTCAGTGTAAATTGTGAAGTTCCCTTTCCCACCATAGTGGAGAAATAGGCTTTGTCCATGTTTTTGCTCATTTGGTGTGGGACTTGACGAGTGACTATGATATGGAAGTTCATTCATGGGTTCATAGCTGCATCTTAGTGGCTTTTGTCCACAAAAATGTTACCACTTTTTTTTCCCCCCTGTATATGTACTGAGTTAGCAACAAACTCAAATCAACACTTGGTTTTATTTCTTAAAAAAAAAAAAAGCTGCTGTTTCTCTAATGTTTCAGTCTGTGTAGAACAGATGTACAACATCTCTACATATAAGTGAGAAATATGTTTATTTGTATACAAAGCTAAAGGTGCTTCAGGTATTGCTAGTCCTTGACTTCCTTTTGGAAGAAAAATGGTCAGGAAGTTCTAATTCCCACACACACATAAACCCTATTGCTACTCCAAAGGTCTGTGCAAGCACTTACTAATTAAATTCTGAGATGGCACCCATATAAAATTACTGGTAGGAGGACTAAGATTTGCATTAACTGATGTTGCTGTTCATCAAAATGAAGTTGCTCTTTTAATTGTACAAATTGGGACCTTTCCTGAAATGCCTAACTGCATCTGAAGAGTTTAAAATTGGAAATACCATATCAATGGCTTGGAGTTTCTTGGAAAACAAAACTGAAAATTGG